TCTCTGACACCAAATAGAACAGGAGGAAGGTGATCTGGGGACTACCTCCACTGAAGCAGGGCTGTTTCTCCAGGCAGCGACAGAGCCTCAGACTGTGCCACTCCCTCGCAGGCTATCTTCAGCTTTCTGATCCTTTGTTTGTCCAGCATTCCCTTGAGCCATTCCCCAGAGCACTCCCCAGTCATAACAATTAGAAGGTTTCTTTCTGCTCTGAGCCAGTCTTTCACATCCTGTCCCTTCACTTCTGCTACTTTGTTCTCCGCCTGTAACAAAATCTCCTTAGCTAAGCACACTGGCCTTTTTCCTCCTTTGTCTCAGCACTTCTTCCTTTGCCACCCTTGGCCCATTTTCTTCAAGAGCCACCACACTGATGGAGGAGCAGGACCCCTTTACCCAGACCCCAGCCCATGCCATGGCACAATCATTGCTGCAGCTGCCCAGCCCCTTGGGAAGGAGGCAGCCTGTGCAACGGGACTGTCCAGCTGCCACCTCCAGAAAGCTCCTGGGTGCAATGAGAAGCCCAAGCTTTCTCTTGGTTGTGTGGGGTTTTATTGAAGGCTGCTTGCGGGGTTCCAGTGAGGAAAGCACAGCTGTGCTTGCCTCATTTAGATTTCGTTTGATTATCAGAAAAGACCTGCATCAGCCTGTCTATCACTGGGTTTGAACGTGCTGCCTCTCACCAAGTGCAAGCTTCTTGCCTTTCATTTCTGGGATTTCACTTCTAAATATCGAGTGGTTCCACAACTGTATGGGTCATTTAGTTTCAGGTGTTTTCCTCTTCTCCCCTCTCCTCCTGGTAGGTTGGTGCCCTTGGATTATAACCATGAGCATGCACAACGCCCTGGGACAGGCCTATGGCACTGGAAACGACTGGGAGATAAGCGGCAACTTGGCAGCATTGCTCTGGCTCTGTTGCAGCACATGAAGGGATGGCATCGGCAGCAGCAGGAGCTGTGGCTGGAGAACTTTGTGCTTGAATTACTCTGGGTTATGGACCCTCCCTCATGGGGTGACAGCTACCAGCCTGCCCCCAGGGCAGTGGGGTACAGAGGAAGTGCCACAATGGGTGAAGCTGCCTTTTGACCTGCTGGCTGTCAGTGGCATGGGGTTTTGTGAGCTTGTGGAGTGAGGTGCAGCCATGCCTGGTGATCTGCATCCACCATAGTGCAGGTGAAAGCAGGAGACAGAGTGGTGAGAATGGGTGGAGGGCTCGACAGCATCATCTGCAGTAATTGGCAGCCCATGGCATGCGGCTGCACGACCACGAGATGCCGGGATGTCTCTGCTTGCAGTGTTTATTCTTTAGGATGTCCCTGTCACACACCCAGCAGTTGTGATTATTAATTATTGTTTATACTTTGCTTTGGCTATGCACTGCATTTTAAAGACCAGCAGAAGTGGGAACCCTGCCCTCATGGAGGCTCCCAGGCCAGGTGTGGGGAGCCCAGGCCCCTGGGTAATGTGCTAAAAGAACTTCCAGCCCCTGCTCCCCAGCAACATAAAGAGAAGGGGCAGGCCCTCACCACTGGTTTATCAGTCCCCTTTCATGCTTCTTCATCCCATTTGCTCCCTCCTAGCTGCACAAGCCTTCCTGGGGCCAGACAGGCAAAGAGGGTTCCTCATTCTGCACTGGGAGTGTATGTGGCAGGGAACACTGAGAACAGCGGGTGTGCAGGTGGAATATCACTAATGCTTCTGGTGCCTGCTCATCAAGTCTGTACCACAATGGGTGTTCAGGCTATTGCATGGATCTTCTGATGGTATGGGCATGGTGTGTGGCCAGGCAGTGGTGGCTTCTCAGTGCAGAGGGGTATTTTACAGTGAGGAGCCATTTTTCGGTCCCTGCAGCAGTGTCCCCTGCATGCCAGCCCTGCTGCTGGGCTCCGGCCTCCAATTCTCATTCCCATCCATCCCAGCAGCCCCTGGTTAGTTGGAGGCCCATGTCTGTCACAGTGTGTGCCCAAATAGGGAACACGGAACCACGCTGCGGTCAGTGCTGCTGACAGAGGGTGGGTCAGGGCTGTCACATCGGTGCCAAAGTGCCACACTGCTGGTATGAACTTTCCCCTGGTGAGTGGCCAAATTTAGGCACAGCCATCTCCTGCCCCCAGAGTGGGTTTTGGCTGTGCAGATTGCACTGCCCCATATGCCTCAGGCACTTATCTGCTGTGATTTTCTAAGCCCAGGATCAGTCACAAGCTCAGCTGAAGGAGGGGTGTGAGAGCAGGGCCAAGTTCCCTTGCTACACTCACTGGTTGGGGAGCTCACTGCAACCTTGTAAGCCCAGGAGCTGCAAGCTTTACCACCTCCCTGTTTAGCAGTAAGAAAAGTGGGGGCCAGGCAGATGGAGGGGCCCATTGGTACCCAATACAAGATCCTCATTGGATGGGTGCTGTCCTTCTGCCCTGACAGCACCATTGCGATACCCAAGCAGTGCAGAGTCATGGCCTCTTCTGTCTGCCCAGGTACATGGGAAGGGCCATCTCCCTGCCAGGGTGGTCAGCGGCTACCTCCTCCTCACCGGCACAGGATGTAGCCATGACATGGACTTGTCTGGAGCTGGCAGAGCCAATCATGCTGGAATGGGGAACACCTACCCCTGGGTTGAGGAGAATCCCAGTCCCTAAAGTGGTGCACCCCTATGGCTGAGGCACAGCTGAGCACTGCCAGAGCCTGGCAAAACCCTGCTGGCTCTGGATGTACAGGTTTAATAATGTTGTAGTGCTTGATGGACTCATAGTCTGTCCTCAGGTTGTGCTAGTTTGGAAGGGCAGAACGCCTCTGCCTGTTCCTGGCTGGTGATGGGGGCAAGGAGCCTTCATCAAGCTCTGGCAGCACACTGGTGAGGGCAGCCCGTCACCCGGGCAGGAGGGTTTGTGCTCTGACTCTGCTTTGTCCCTGCGGTACTGCTTGCTTCCCTTTTTATTCTCTCACAGGCTGCAGTAAAACGTGTGCACCCCACGTTCGGAGCAAACAAACCCACGTCATGTGTTTTCGCTTTCTCTGTTTCCTTGCCTCCACGTGTTAGAAATGTGCAGCATCTGTGCACTTTCCATTTGGTACAAACAGAGCACATTCGGTCGCCAGCAGAGATGGCAACAGATGGTTTGCATGGGCACCACGAAAATATTTTGGGCTCTGGTGAAGCGGGTCCCCCTCCCTCATTTCCAGACCCTGTTTTCTAGAGGCAGGCGGTTTGGCCAGAGGAACCCTGGGGCAATCTGTGGACAGCAGCAGGGCTAAGTGGGTATTTACTGAAATGTGCTGGCAAATGGTTGGGACTTGAAATTGTGTTGGGGGCTTTCACCCGGGCTGGGCACCAGTGTGGCAACCCAGTCTCTGCTGGGGAAAGGGCTGCTGGCAGGGACAGCAGGGTGGTCTTTGCTAATTTGCTGGCACATCTCCCATGTGCAGTGCTGAGGGGGAGCCTCCTTGCCTGCAGCTTGGGACATGCTCACCCCACTGCTTAGGCTGCCAGCATGGGGGAGTGCTGGCCCGGGCAGGGAGCCCCCGGCAGCACAGGGACCTGGGGTGGCTGACAGCTGCCCGGAGAGGGGCTAGCCCACCGGCCGGCGCTGCACTGGCCAGAAGCAGTGCTGGCCCCCAAGGGTCGTTTCCCAGGGCGCGGTGCAGGCCGTGAGCAGCAGCAGTCCTTGGCTGTCCCCTCCGCTCTGACGGGCAGCTCAGAAATAGCAGCTGGCCCAGTTCTCCCGCCCCCGTGGCCCAGATCTCGAAGAACGGAGGTTGCTCGCACAGCAACAGCAACAGCAGCAGCAGCATCAGGCGCTGCATTTAGCCCATGAGCTCAAACAGCGAGAGAAGCTGCCAGCAGGATCCCAGCCTAGCTGGGTGACGCTCCTGCTTGGAGACTGCGCTGCAGGCTCTGTTTGTTGGTGTAAACACGCTCGCTGCTGCAGCTTCCCCGTTACTATCTATAGCTGCGATCTCTTGGCTCCCGTGCAAGGCGAGTCTGCGGTCTGGCTCCCACCTTAGCCTGACCTGAGCCAGGGCTGCCTGACAACCCCATCGTGGGTGGGTGTCTCCGGGCTTCGCTGCAACAAGGATCAAAACAAAACCCAAACTGGAGGAAAGGACGAGCCTCACCCTTCACTCCTCGCCGGTGGTTTCCTGGTGGCCCCTTGCCCGTGCCCTTGGCGGGTGTCCCAGCACCCCTGAGCCTGAGCTCTCCCAACCTTCCTGGGGGGGCTGCGGCCTCCCAGGCTTCCCTAGCAGGGTTTCCCAACACCCTGTGCCATTTACCCTCGCTCTGGACTATTCCTCTGCATACATAATAGACAAGTAAATAGTGCCACACGAGCTTAACACGTTCCTGGCCGCAGGGAGGGGGGCAGATCAGGCCCCCTGCAGGCAGGGCCCATCCTGCCCCTGTGCCCAGTTACGGGCAGGCCCTGCTCCGTGCTGGGGACCGGAGTTTTACTTGCAGTACTCCCGAGCACCCTGCTCCGCCGTGGGGCTGCGTGGGGGCCCGCCGCCCCCCCCCCCCCCCCGAGGTGGGAGCCACTGCGGCGGGAGGGCGGCCGCTGGGGCAACGCCGGGGCCTTCGGAGGGGGTCTCGCCAGGCGTGGGGGAGCGAGGGTGAAAGGAGGGGGGAGGAGGGGCTGTCCCGTCCCGTCCCGTCCTGTCCCGTCCCGCGCGCCGCCCGCCGCACTTGGCTGCAGCCTGGAGCGCTTCCCGTCAGTCACGCCCCCTCTCACAGGATGTATCCCATATAAGGATATCTGCGTCAGTGGGTTCCCGAGACCGGCCGTACCACTCCGCGCGGGGGGGGAAACCCCTCTGCCGCCCCGCTCCGCTTTTCCCGCGGGGCTCCCCCCCCAGCGACCCCCTCCCGCCTCTTGTCGCGCCTCTCTTCGGAGGGGGGCAGTGGCAGGCGGCTCGCGGAGCGGCCTGGAGGCGGCATGGGGCGGGCGTAGGGCGAGCGGCCCCCCCCGCGGGCGCGGGTGCCGGGTCCCCAGTGACGTCGCCGGGAGGGTATAAAATGGAGGCGCGGCGCGGTACTCCAGCAGCTGAGGCAGCCCCAGCAGTGGAGCGGAGAGACGCGAGGCGTGCACCGGACAGAGGGACGCTCGCAGCCGGCCCCTCCTCGCTTCCTCCCCAAGGACGCTCCGACACCGCCGTGTCACCCCGCACCACCGGCTTACACGCACCGATCCGACATGATGTACCAGGGCTTCACCGGAGAGTACGAGGCGCCCTCTTCCCGCTGCAGCAGCGCTTCCCCGGCTGGGGACAGCCTCACCTACTACCCCTCCCCGGCGGACTCTTTCTCTAGCATGGGCTCCCCCGTCAACCCGCAGGTGAGGTGCTGGGCACGCCGGCTGTGCCTTCGCCGTGGGGCGGCAGCGCCGGGGAGGGGACGGGATCGGACCGCGGGACAGGAGCGGGCGGCGCGGGGCCCGCCGGTGCCCTCAGAGGAGGGCAGGCCGCGGCGGGCTTCCTCCAGGCTGGGGACTGGCCGTAGGGAGCGGCTCCGGTGCCGTGGCGGGGCAGGCGGGGGGAGCCGTGGCCCGGGCCGCGCTCTGCGGCGGGTGTGTAAAGCGGCTTCATTGATAAAACGCGAGTTCATTGAGGAGACTCCGGAGCAGCGTCTGCGTCAGCGCGGACGTCAGAGATATTTATAACAAGCCGCTCTCGTGTGGAGCCGGCGCTGGCAGCGCGGCGCGGCCCCGGGGGTTGCGGGAGCGGCTTGGGCGCCCCTCTGACGGCAGCCCCCTCCATCCTTGTCCCGTAGGACTTCTGCACCGATCTGGCAGTCTCCAGCGCCAGCTTCGTGCCCACGGTGACGGCCATCTCCACCAGCCCCGACCTGCAGTGGCTGGTGCAACCCACCCTCATCTCCTCGGTGGCCCCTTCCCAGAGCCGCGGGCACCCCTACGGCGTGTCAGCACCCACCCCCACTGCCTACTCCCGCCCCGCCGTGCTGAAGGCGCCGGGCGGCCGCGGGCAAAGCATCGGCCGCAGGGGTAAAGTCGAGCAGGTGAGCGGGGGCCGGGGTTGTCTGGGGGTATGGGGGGGGGGGGGGCGGCCGGTGGGCTGCCCCGGTCGGGAGGCACCGGGCTTGGAGGTGGTACTGAGCGGCCTCTCTCTGCTCGCAGCTGTCCCCTGAGGAAGAGGAGAAGAGAAGGATCCGCCGGGAAAGGAACAAGATGGCAGCGGCCAAGTGCCGCAACCGGCGGCGGGAGCTCACTGACACGTTGCAGGCGGTGAGTGCTGGACGGGATGGGGTGTGTGTATGTGTGTACTCGGGGAGAGGGGGTGATGGTAAGAAGAGCGGGACTCCCGCCGGGGTGGTGCCCGCCGTGGCTGACAGCGCCGCTCTCTCTCTCTCTCTGCAGGAGACCGACCAGCTGGAGGAGGAGAAGTCTGCGCTGCAGGCAGAGATAGCTAACCTGCTGAAGGAGAAGGAGAAGCTGGAGTTCATCCTGGCAGCACACCGGCCCGCCTGCAAGATGCCTGAGGAGCTGTGCTTCTCCGAGGAGCTGGCAGCTGCCACCGCGCTTGACCTGGGCACTCCCAGCCCTGCTGTGACTGAGGAGGCTGCCTTTGCCCTGCCGCTGATGGCTGAGGCGCCGCCGGCAGTGCCGCCCAAGGAGACTGGCAGCAGTGGGCTGGAGCTCAAGGCTGAGCCCTTTGACGAGCTGCTTTTCTCCACGGGGCCGCGGGAGGCCTCCCGCTCCGTGCCTGACATGGACCTGCCTGGGGCCTCGTCCTTCTATCCTTCGGACTGGGAGTCGCTGGCTGCTGGGACCAGCGCTGAGCTGGAGCCGCTCTGCACCCCCGTGGTGACGTGCACCCCGTGCCCCAGCACCTACACCTCCACCTTCGTCTTCACCTACCCCGAGGCGGACGCCTTCCCCAGCTGCGCTGCTGCGCACCGGAAGGGCAGCAGCAGCAACGAGCCCTCGTCCGACTCTCTCAGCTCCCCCACCCTCCTGGCCTTGTGAGGGGCTCCAGCACTGACTGACCTGCCGGGCCCCCTCCCTTGCCCTTGCCACCCCCACGGACTCACCGCTGCGCCCCATGGGGCTCCCCGGGCCTGGGGAGGGCGCCATCGCCACCACCCCCTGGCCTGGTGCCCCGGGGCCTGGCAGAGCGCCCTGCACCGAGGCCTCGTACCTCTTCCAGAGATGTAGCAAATCGCATGGAGTTTGTCTTGTCCCCAATGGCCCATCCATGAGAGCTGGTAGTCTGTAGCATGTGCCACATGGCTGGGTAGGTGACTCCCTCCCCTCCTTAGTATCACTAGCATTAACTAATTAATCTCTTGGTTTTAAATAATTGGAATTTAACCTGGTGCTGGGTATCTCCAACTCGTATCTAGTGCAGCTGATTAACAATAACTACTGTGTTCCTGGCAATATCGTGTTCTGATGACTTAGCAATGACCCATCTTACGTGGGGGGAAAGAGACTATATTTTATTTTATAGTAGGTAGGTAAATAGCTATATCCATGTACTGTAGTTCTACATTGATGTTCATTGTAACTTTACTGATCATGCATTGTTGAGGTGGTCTGAATGTTCTGACATAAGTTTTCCATGAAAACGTTTTTATTGTGTTTTTAATTTATTTATGAAGATGGATTCTCAGATATTTATATTTTTATTTTATTTTTTTCTACCTTGAGGTCTTTTTTGACATGTGGAAAGTGAATTTGGATGAAACTTAAGCATTGTTTGCTTATTATTGTTCAGAGACATTGTCAATAAAAGCATTTAAGTTGACTGCTGGAGCTGTCCTTGTGTTACCTTTTGCATCATTTCCTTGTGACCCTAAAGGGGTTCCCTAACCTCTAATTTAAGCTGTACTGTATTAACAGCAGACTGGTGCTAGTGGCCTGAGGTATAGGGTGCATCAGGGCAGGAGTTATTTCAGGCTGGGCCTGTCCCTGTCCTGGTGTTAGTTTGGGCTGGCTGTGGCTTTGCTGTTCCCACCCATCCTTGTAGCTTATCTCACCTCTCTGTCAGGGTTTGGTCCCCTCCTGCTCCCCTCTGTAACCTGCTTAGGGCCTTTCAGCAGCAAGCTGGAGGCTTCACTGGAAAGGAGGTAAAAGGGGCATGTGCGTTCATGCCTCCAAAGCAAGGAGGTCATCTCCTACCTCTTCACTGGCATGGGCCCAAAAGCCTGAGGCCCCCCTGCCTCAGGAGGGTGGTTATTGGTGGACACTACCCTGGACTTGGTCTGGCATCTCTACGAGCAGCTATGGGATATCTTCTTTTGGCCATGAGGGAAGGAGAAAATACTGATGTACTTTCTTCTCAGTTTGGGGTGAGTGGTATAAGGCAAACTGCTGACCTTTCCCTTGCCTCTTAGTTACTGTTAAAGCTGTCTATGCCTTTGAATGCAAATTATGGCACACATCCCCCTTGCTCTGCAAATATATTCCCTCCCCAGGGTCTATGCAACACGGTTACTCTGATTTACTTTAGAGAGGCTGCTACTCTCTGCTGTTCCTGCTTCTTGTGACATGACACCTACCTCTACCAGGCTACCCCTGCATGCAGAGCAGTGAATGCTCCTGCCATAAATGCTTGCTTGTGACAAGGCCCAGTAGAGCAGTAAGACCTCCCTAATGGCCTCCAGCCCTGCTGCTTCAGCTCCTGAGAACCCCTTTCTTCATGTATAGAAACCTGCATCCTGCTGAAGGCCACCTTGACACTGCTCTCAGGCAATCTCTGAAGGCTGGCATTCAGGGCTGGGTTTGTGTAACTCCACATTTCCTGGTTACTGCAGCAGGCTCCGCTTTCTTCACCCCTTCCCTAATCAGAACATGCACAGGATATATCTCACCTCAGCAGTGCGTATTGCAGCTCACAGCTTGCTCAATAAGGCTTGCCCTGTGCAGAAACAAATATTACATGCTTGGCTTCCCGTCTTTCAACACTTAAGCTGAAGGCAACACTGACAACTGATGAAGAATGACCCCAGTTGCTACTGAGATGCCACCCACTGAGAAGCAGCTGCTTTCACATTCCCATTCGGGTTTACAAGGGCAACACCCAGGCGCTGCAAATGCATGGTAGCACTGACCCCTGAAGCAGTCGTGGAGGTGTAGCTGCAAGAGTTTAAAGCTGATGTGACAAGCGACCCTGTGAAGTCTGTAAATCTGGATTCACAACCCGTCTTCTGCTGAAAGACCATCAGGTTCAGAGCCTGAGAATTCAGGGGTCTCAGAGAGCCCAGACGTGCTGCTGAAATCACCAGATGCTCAGCAGAGAGGCTGGGAGGAGCAGGGGTGTACAGAGACCCAAAACAGTCACTGCAAATATGGTCCGCTCAAAGAAGGTGGGGTGATCCTGGCCCCATCATCTCTCATGATCACTGGACAGGTTGAAGCAAGGACTAGTGCTGAGTTCTGAGGGACAGTAGTCCTGCAGCTTAAGTGAGGCTTTCCTTGCTAGCAGCAGTGCCAGCAAGTGCCCAGCACGAGTGTCAGCTTTTGCATTTATTACACAACGATGTCCAACTCCAGGGTAGCATTATGTGAGACACGATGTGCTTTACCCCAGGCCCCAGCCCTACTCCCTGCCTTTAGCCTGGGATGATCCAGAATTCAGGATATGCTATGTAAAATTTATAGCATGTCACAAATATGATTTATTTGCCATTGGAGAGCTCTGTAGTGAAATCTCAGTTAAATCAGAGAGAATCTTGCCACTCACTCTAACAGAACCATGAGAGGGAATGATGCAGCAATCTCTGCTTGGAATGGATTACATGCATGTGCTTCAATTATAAGCTGTATCTGATACATCACACAGATATCAGTACAAAGCTTTGTGAAACTAAACAATAGAATAAGACAATCAGGTAATCAGGTGTTACTTCTGACGCCTCCTGTGCTCCAGATCCCATCGAGGGCAGCAGTGTAATTAACTCTTAGAAATGAAACTGCAGCACAATGCCATGGAATGGTGGAATTATTATTGTGAATTACAAACCGTAGAGCTGCAAAGTAACACGAAGAGCCTTAAACGCGTTTACAATAGGATAAAGAAGGGCTGCACAGCAAAGCAACCTCAGACACGGGAGGGTGCTGCGGACCCAGGACTGCTTCCACGCTGGCAGAGGCCTCGCACGATCCTGTGCGCGCCCCCACCCCCAACCCTCGCTTCCAGCGCTCCTGCCCCCGACAGCCGGGAGGACGGCCCCGAGCTGGCACCGTTGCCGGTACCTGAGATCACCGCCGAGCTTCCCGGCGTCTGGGCCGGGCGAAGGCCTGGCGGCGGAGGGGCGCTGAGGCGGGCCTTCCCCGTACCCTCCGCGCTGCGCTGGGGCCGCGGCTCCCGAGCCCGCCCCGCCGCCCTCCCCTCACAGGCGGCCGGAGGGTCGCCCGGGCCCCACCGCCGTTCTTAGTCCCTGGCGCCTGCTCCTGTACGGCTGCCGCCATGGCCGCGCCAGAGCGCACCCCACCGCGCCTGCGCGCCGGCCGCCGCTCCCCGCTGCCGTGTTTACTGTTTGGTTGCCAGGGCGCCGCGCGGCGGGCACGTCAGGGACGTGACGTCCCGCTCCCCGCGGGGACGCTACGAGCCAACGCCATGACGCAAGTACTTCCGGCCGTGCCCATATATGGCAAAGCGGCGGCGCTCCGCTTCCCGGAGCGGGTGCCGGTCGCTGGTTGGCGCGTGTGGCGCTGCGGCAGGAAGGTTCCAGAAGGATGAGGCCCGGTGCTCGGCCATGCTCCTCAGCACGGTCCCGGCGTTCCACGTTCTGCCCGCTTGGTGCCTGCCGCGGCCTGGGGAAGGAGCAAAGCTCCCGCGGGCTCTTCGCGGGAAGGTGCTCGTGGTGGGCTCCGTTATGCCTCCTCCCACACTTCCCTTCTCCTTTGGGCGAGTGAGGTGGGGGAAGGTGCCTGGGACCCCCCGCAGCACTGGACCTTGAGTTCAGGCAGGTTCATATGGAACAGCCTGTAGCTGTCCACGGTAGGGACATTCCGTTCGGTGACTGGCTCCTGGCTGGAGGAGTTTTACCTGCCATGGTGGGGAGTCGGAGGCGATGCAATTCAGCTTAACTTCAGAAGCATAGTAACAATCAGCTTTTATTTCCATATGGAATTAACTGAAAGGAAATAGCTACTCTGTGAAACCTAACTGCAGCGCAGTAGGTGACCGGGCACATGTTCTGCCGCTTTGCTTGTCGTTCATTTTGTGATTGCGCTGCCACTAAATCTAACTCCTCTGCTTTAATTCAAAATAGAATGGGAAGCCTGCCAAAAAAAGTTGTCAGAGCCAGCGGACAGTCAAAAATAAATGGGTTGTTCAGAGCAGATAAGGTTCTAGAAAACATTTCAGCTACTGTTTTGTTCAGTGCTCACTACAGAGGAATTTAAAGATTTCTGTGCTTATACTTGATTATATGAATGATTTATCAGAGGATGTGTCTCAAGCTGAAGTATCTGTAGAAAAGGTCATGAGAGAAATAGTTAAAATCAGAAGTTGAATGGTTGGACTGCATGATACTTACTAGGAGTTCTGAGAGACATCAAGATTTAACCAGCCGAGCTGCTTGCTAATGGTTTTGTGTAACACTCTTTAGAAGTGCTTTGGTAAAATAATAGAAAGATGGTTAACATGCCGATTAGGAAAAAGTGGCTTGTAAAGTTCTGGAGAGCTGCTGAACAATGGACCTCTCATCTGTACCAGGCAAGTTAATGAAAACTGCTTAAAAAGGTGAACTAGTAAGTATGTGGAGAAAATGATGTACCAGGAGAGCTGTAAGAGCTTCTCTACAGAAAGCGTGGCCTCACACCTCATTTGGAATCCTGTGAGGAGCTGGAAAAGCATGTGGATGAGAGAGATCGAGCTGATGTCCCCTACTTGGGTTTCTAAAAACCACTCAACAAAATCTTAACAGCAAAAGCTCCTGAAGAAGCTATGGAATAACAGGAGGGCTTCTCGCATGTGTAGATGACGCTGAGTTTAAGATAGAGAAGTGTTGTCTCAGTGGAAGGAGTCGATATGTGAAGGTCCACAAGGATCTGAATTGGAGCCTGTGGCCTGAGAGGAACTTGAGTAAAACGGCACAATACAAAGTAAGGTGATGCAATTGGATGTACGTAAATGTAAAGTGTTTTAGTGGGAGATAAGCAATCTGAACTTCAAATGTACAGAAACAGCCTGGAAGTTGATTTATGACTTAGGAACAAGATCTTGGAATAATAATAGTTCTGTGAAAATCTCACCTCAAGGCTTGGTAAGTGAGCAACTGGAATGTTAAGAGGTAAGAAAGAAGAGCTAGAGAACAAAGCAGAGAGCATCATTAAGTCTGCAGTGTGCCAGTGCTTTGAATGCTGTGTATGGCTCTGATCTTACCTTCAGAAGGACATAGAGCACTGTAAGAGGTACAGAGAAGTAAATGGGTGTTCTGCGGTGTGGAACAGCTTCTGCCTGCATGAGAAACAGATAAATTAACTAGGACTCTCCAGACTCACAGAGGCAGGAGTGAGGGGAGGTTTCTTTCAACACAAGAGTAATGTGCATCAAATGAAACCTGGGGAAAACGCGGGATAAATCCGAACTTGCTGAGGTTGCTCATTCCATATTGTGGTTACTTGTGCATGTTTTTGTGGATACTATGAGGGTTTGGGTTGTTTGAGCTGAAAAGCAGTCCAGGAAATCAACAGAACAAAAAGCTAATGAGGACTATTAAATAGAAAAATATTTCCTTTGGCTGCAGAATTCCTGATTTTTTGTAAATTTCTGGGGCCTTGGGGAATAGCGGGGGG